TACATCCAATATTAGCATATTCGAGCATTCAACTTTGCTCTAATCCGTTGACGGCCTCCACTTCCACAAATTCCATCCTATCCTTTTCTTTGAAGAAACAATGGGCCAATACTGGCAGGTGGTTTGCCCATCCAGACGCGAGTACACAACACAGTCATGTGGTGGAAAGCTATCAGAGTTGCTTTTTTCGTCATGGGCCAACATACTGTGTGACCTGATTGAACACGAGTGGGCTGGCACTCGGCTCATCTGTATTGGAGATTACTTAAATCCAGACGATCTCCCTGCCACGATTCAACAAGACAAACTCCACTTGATTTCCGCCGAGAGCGATGCAACATCCAAGCTTCTCCGCTATGATGTCGTTGAGGAGGAGTTTGAACTATGGTCTTACGAAGAAGAAGGGGAGGCAGCGACTCTCACGGCCATGGAAGAATCTGTCAATCCCAAAATTCGACTCCTGAGGAACTTGACTACCAGCCAATATGTCTTCAAGGACAAGTTGCCATTCGGAACCACTCTTGGCCACATAGTTCTGATGCGTATCTGTTGATCGTCTGATAGTTCAACTAGCATTGCAGGGGGAGGATATTTGACCAAGGGAGAATGGGCTGGCTATGAGTTCGATATTGTAGGTGCTGACATGCTGGAGAATATGGACGGAGAATGGGAGGATGTCACCGAGGACATCCGCGATGAGATACAGGTTCTGTGGTCGAACGATTTCGGAGACAACTGGGAAACCGAATGGAGAGCGTGATACTCCATGAGCAAGAAGCTATGAAATCAATTGATATGAAGAATATCCGAGGATACAATCTTAGGCTATCAAAGAAAAGATGAATGAAAATACCTTTGGACACCCTTCCCGTATATACTCGAGTGAGGTCAGAAAATCTCCATGTTCCTTGGACGAAAATGTGAGGGCTCTTGGTAAAATCAAAGAATGAACAGCTTCCATTGCCTCAGTATTAAGACCGTAGATTCAACAGTGCCCCAACATTTCTTAACCGACTCACTTGACTCATTCACAACATGACTCTAGCACATTCTTCTCGCTGGGCATCTAAAATGACACCAAGGATTTTGCCGCAAATAGTTGCGGTAGAACGAAGGTATGGGTTGCACTTAGGATAGGCATCGTGTCCAACGTTTGCTCTCTAGCAGAGCACGTGCGCGACAGGAGCCTACAAGCCTATAAATACGTCCTCTCCCCTCAGCAATTCGTTCCACAATACTGTCACTTGCTGTGTAAAGTCGAGCAGGCCCTCGGTTTGAGGCACCTGATAAGTTCTTCCCTTCAACCCTACTGGATTTCCACTGTACTGACATCTATGGATACATCGTGGGCCGATAAGCTAGAAAGTGCTTGTGAGAAAGTGATTCCCACCAGATCCAGTATGCCACCTATACCAGCCGATCAAAGATGCAGATTTGGGTTAGCTGGTCAAAGTATGCGAATATCTGTCCATCATAGCAGCGGACTACTGTCCCGCCCCTGAATATATCGATGCAAAAAGGGGATTTCTATCCAGGTATGTAGATCTCAGAGCGACCCTTTCCGAGACTGACTGACTTCAAAGACGATGCGAAATAACCGGATCCTTGCATTCCATCCAATGCACGCGCAAAGCCACGGAGCCCTTTTCCGTGTCTTCTTTCAGAACATGTGAGTTCTACATGTCTCGCCGATCGACAAGCTAATGATGGACAAGAGACCGTTGACAGCGCCCTAATGTGAGTGCGAACCAGCGGCGCCGTCAGAGCTCCACGCGGTCATGGCTTACACACCATTTCTGGCCCTGTCACTTCAAATCATGCAGCATGTCCTGAAATTCCGCACACCAGGGCTGTGGGTCAACGACAGGACGCATAAGCCCCAGACGTTCGTTGTGCACGATGAGGTGAGCGGAATATCGCGCATCCTGCTGCGCCGGTTTTGATTTTGCGCCAAGTCTGCGCCCCAGACACGAACCCCACTGACATCTTCATGCCGTTGTAGGAGCAGCCCATCACCAACCTCGAAAACTGTTGTGGCGAGTAGCCTATTCCCGCCGAGTCAGATAAGACCAAGGGGCCGACGCGCTCCATCGCCTCTTACCCCCTCCACCTCACCGCCTTCACATCCTCAACAACAGAGTGCCTCTACACGGAGCAGTCTCCCAATAGGGGACTCTGCAATTTCTTGTCACAAGTGGGCTCGTCACGCGCCTTTGCCGTCCTGTGAACTTGCCCGGTGCATCCAGCGCAACTTCTCGAAGCGACAGCCGGAGAGTGCGACGAACATGGATACAACATGGCGTGTTGGTGACTGCATTGCAGAACAGAATTGGCAGTGATCTAGTTGGTAAGCTGGTATGATGACGATCCTAATTGACTATCTGTCTCAACCGTACACTCGGGGAATTCTTCATGGACAACGTAAAGCACGACACCTCGTCCAACTGGATCAACAATTGCTGACTCGGGTCTCACACCAGGAGGCTCCCTCATATTCCCACACTCGAATTCGAAGCGATCAACTGTCTTAAACCGGAGACTATTAATAATAGCTTCGCCGCCGCCGGTTTAATACCTTACGACCCCGATCGAGTGCTTTCGAAGCTCGACATTCGCCTTCGAACCCCGACACCCCCCTCGAGCCGGGGAAGCGAGTGGTCGCCGAAAACGCCCTCGAACTACGTACAATTACAAAAGCAAGCTTCCTCAATTAAAGCTTTGCTAAAACAGCGCTCAAAAAGCCCACCGAGCCCGCTTAGTTCCGCAATCAATCAGGTTTTAAAGGCGTGTCAAATTACAATGCAAATCGGCAGCTATTCTCGAGAAAGAAGCAAGCGATTTACGCGCCGAAAACGAGAAGAAGAAGCGAAAAAGGACTCGGTCTACAAGGCAGACACCTCGAGAGGAAGGCCTATCAGTTTCAGAGGCTCTCGAGCTTATTCAGGTCGAAGAACTAGAGATTGAAGCACCAACACCCCGCCAGCCACGACCGCCTCCGGCACTTTTACAGCCACGTACGAGGGCCTTACCGAAGTGTGGAGCATGTGGAATTGAAGGCCATAAGAGAAATGCATGTCCAGATAGACCTCGATTTTAGTGTATTAAATTTAATGGCGTTTTGGTTGAGAGAAAAGCATTTAAAATGAATAGATATAGATGGGGTGGCAGGGTGTGTGTTGCGTAAACAGTAGTGCGTCACTAGTTAGGTCTTACGCGAAAATGCTAGCTGGGGTCCTAGCACGGAACGTAGAGACTGCGGGTTCGAATCCTGTCACTTTCACAACTTTTACCCAAGAGGCACCTACCGAAGAAAGCCTACGCCTTGGTTGACTTGGCTAGGACCTGGATGGTAGACCCGGGTAGGGGTAGCTACTGCGGTACGCAATAAAAGGCGGGTGGGGAAAACTGTCACCGGTCTAGCCTTTCAGCTTACCTTCCGAAGTACTAGCCGTTTAACTCGGGCCGCTAGGAAAGAAGGATGTCCCCTCTGTGGTAGCTAGATTGAGAAAAGGTGTAACAGTTCTGCAAAGCTCAACAAAGTACGATCTGAGTTCCGGGGGCGCCCTGGATTGCATTGAACAAAATACAACATACTGAACAATTGGTCACTCGGTCGCTTTAAAGCACTAGGACAGACCGTCCGGTCATTTCTATTGGGAATTCGGCGTTAAAAGAAGGTTTCTTGTGGTGCCAGTCCGGGTGCACCGACCTACATAGCTTACCGCACGCTTAGGCAGGCTCCATTAGGTATAAGAAATATCATCATCATCATCATCATCAATGAGCACTGCATCAAATATGCCACTTTCCCTGATAAAAGCGTTGATTCGTTCACGAGTCTTCTCACGCCCCGTATCCGAATAGGGCTGTTTATAATCAGAGGTATAGGGTGAGCCGAACGGAGTAATGGTAGCACCAAAACAGGGATACCTAAAGCATATCGAGCAGAGTCATCTGTCCGAATCGGGTACAGTGCTCAATAGCCATCTGGACAGCGGGGAAGAGTAGATGAAGCTTCTACCGGGCCTGGACACCCATGGTACGTCATAGAATAGCAAGCACCATAGTCAGCTATCCAATTAGCAAGCCTTCATTTTTATCATTTGTTTCGATGACGTAGCAGAGCAGGGAAGACAAAGCAGGTGAAACAGAACATAGGAACCGATGAGATGGAGAGGTACATACCAGCGCCTCCAGCATCGCTATCCTGATGCATTATATGGGCCTCAAACGGCGTCACAGATGGAGAGCCGCAAGCCTTATTGGTGGCGATATCAAACTCCTGAGTCTGCTTTACTCAGTATGCTTACACAACTAAAAGTGACAAGAATAGTTGCTCACTACTCACAGTAATGACTCCTTTGTCAACGGTAAAATGGGGTCTCTCCCAGAGAAAGCAGACATTATGTGGCCCACAAGTGCCGGAATAGGAAATACTGGTTGTAACGCTAATAAGACGGGTTATCAGTACTCCCTAAATTCTGCATATTGAGGATTGGGTTAGTAATTTAACTCACGTGTTTGCGTTGTGAGAAGTTGATAGTCCGAAGGTGCTTAGGAATTTTGTTAGTGCGCCCGTCCACCCTTTCCCAAACTGTTGCTAAAGTTAGGCATATGCAGTTTTAAAAGGCAGCAAGTACGCAAAACTGACCCCGGGAATATTGTCACTGCCTCCAATGTTGACGCCTGACGCGTCAGTAATGGAGACGCTCTTTGATATAGAGCCTGTGCCACACAAAGCGCCGCTTTCGTAATGATAGTCCCCATAGACGTTCGGGTTTGTCGACTGAATAACAGCCCTAGACGAGCTTCTCCTGCATTCCGGTATGCAGAACGAACTGCTGCCAAACTCACACTCAACATCCGTGGTGTGGGGTAAGATTCTTTTGACATAACGACTGGGTACAGCAATAGTCATATTATGGTCCGCTGAGATTAAGGAATGCCTATATTAGAATCGTAGTGAGTTCAAGTTGCATAAATGTAAGCGCGGTATGCATTTACCTGTATTTCTCAACGTCTTCAAGTGTGTAAGATAGCTTCCCATGGCTATTGAAAAACTCTGGAGTCGACATCAGATACTTCCTAATCTGCTCTGTTGTGAGTGCAGGTATATCAAAGTCCTGGTATGTCAAGTTTTTGCCATCAACAACGGCATGCTTCTCAACCATAGGAACACCGTCATAGACAGTGCTGTCAGGTTGCCACCGTCCATAATCAAGGGATTTATAAGGAGTAAAAACGGTTTCATTGCTTTCACTGAGAGTCTTGAGGAATAGCGACGGTGCGGTTTCGGCAATTTGCTGGCGTGCAGGGCTAGGATAGCCATGTGCGATGCGAACACCCAAATGCAGTAGAATAATTAGACTTAGCATTATGGATGCAGTTGAGTTGAGCTGAAAACAAAGTTGCCTTGGTAAAAATGTTCGGTAGTATGGAGAAGCACTGTTCGAGGATACTACTATTTATACCTGCACAGGGACATAACCAGCTGTATTCGTTCGTATCAGGCATCGGAAGATTCGTTTAATCCTGGAAATGAGCCTTATCTCTGACATAGCGCCACACAGGATGCGGATAACTTGTCAGTTCCTGCAGGTGGAAAGTTACAACCTGTCAGGAAAATGAAGATAGACATCGTATTAACTCGTCAGGTACAACTGTGACCAGCCGACATCTGTGGCCATCCAATACCGTCTCTTTGGTTTACGCGTCCTTTTTACGACCTTTTGCCACAGGTAACCTTCGAGACACCTTATTTTCGAGGGTATTCCAACCCGTCGGCCTTCAGTAGATCGTCCACCAGAACCAACGCTCTTTCCAGGTCTCGTCGCTGTTTTTCCCTCTTTGATTTAGTTGCTCTGATTGGCATCCAGTGTATTTCTAGCTATAGAGGACATTCCTGTTACGACCTCATATCGCTTCCGTGCCGCTTCCGGACAGGGTACAATTACGTGGTAACGAAATCCACGACGGAAAGGATAACATGGCCGAACTGATAACCAGTCAATACAAAATTCACCAATCTTTCCGGACCCTCGCTACCCCAACTCCTTATATACAGTGACGCAGCAAAAGTTTTAACACCCCTCTAGACCCACTCGTATACCGCCTTTCATTATGGCCTACACCACCTAACCAAAACACGCTAAAATAGTCTCTTATATAGCGCGTAAGTCTCGCGTTTTCAGCGTCTTTTCGCCTCCTTTTACCTGTTTATAAAGCCTCCTTTTTACTATAAGCCCTTTAAATATGCCTTCACGGTTAGAACTTACCCCGGCCCTCCGTGAAAGGATCTGTGAGCTTTATTCGGCCGTTTAATGGGGTTATAAACGTATCTATAAGAGACATCTATGGATCTCTCAATCTACAATACGTTATACGATTAAAAGAGAGCAAGACAGGCGTGCTGGCGTTTCAAAACCTCGGTCTGGTCGCCCGAAAAAGCTAAATGAAGCTGATAAAGTACGTCTTATGGACGCAATTCATGAGAACCCCCGAGTTACCCGTGAAGATCTTCTTGCTGAGGTCTCCTATAAAGTCAAAATCGACTCGATCCGACGTCTCTTAAATGCCGAGAACCTATGGAAATGGTGATGTAGCTGGAGACTCTATTTAACCGAGGAATATGCTCTTAAACGTCTTCGGTGGGCTGTTTAATATCAACTTTTTACGCCCGACGATTGGGCTCGACTCTTTTGGTCCGATGAATGTACGGTTGAACGAGGAATTGGAGTACGCCGTGAATGGACTTTAACCCGGCCGAAAGATCAGCCTCGACTTAGATAGGTTCAAGGTCTTCCACAAAGAGGGAAGCAAGTTAAGCAGATGTTTTGGGCTGCTTTCTCGGGCGCTACACGTCGTACGGGCCTTATCCCTCTCTTCGGGGATCTAGATTCCGAGCGTGGAGGTGTGAATAGTGTCGTGATCCGGGATTTATACATCCGAATCCTTCCTATCTTGCTTGCGACCGAGGGCTGCATTTTTTAACATGATAACGCGCTAACGCATACAGCACACGTCGTCCGGGACCTACTACGAGATCTGGAGATCGAGGTTATGGAATGGCCTCCGAATTCGCCTGATTTAAACCCTATCGAGAACCTGTGGGCGTTGATGAAGGCTAAGATATATGAGCTTCGGCCTGATCTAATTCATATGAAGAATAATGAGCAGACTAAGGCTATACTAGTAGCTATAGCACAGCTTGTATGGGACCAATTAGAACTAGAAAATTTACGGCATCTCTCTGAGACGACGCCGCATCGAGTGCAGGCTATTATTGATAGCCAGGGATGGTATACGAAGTATTAGCTGAATCGCATGAGGTTTAAAACTGGCAGAATATTACTAATAATTGTGGGTCCATTAAGGGGGTGCTGAAACTTTTGCTGCGTCACTGTACCTGTACCTACCCTGACACTTTTGGTAAGCCACATGGCCACATTCCTATCGCTATTATCCCTCTTAATACACTTCGACGGTTGCCTATTAGAGTACCCGCTTCGGATCCCTCCGATATTACTGTCTCTTATTTGGGCTGAATGCCAGCCTCGCCAAAGGATATGGAATGTGTTCTGGGGATTATCCTCCTTTGTTGAATGGCTGTCTGACATGAGTATGTCTTTATTTGCTCAAGCTTTCACAACTCTAGCGTATTACCGCTATTTTATATATATGTATATATATATATTTCTTTACTTTACAGTTAATCATTAATGAAGGATTTGAAGAGATGTGGGGTAGACTGAATATATTCGTTAGTAAAAGCGTCTTTCCCTAGTGCCGATAGAAGTGGCATGAGCACGGGCATTATTGACCACATTGCTTGAAGATAATGACTGGACTAATTGGAGTTCTCGAATTTCCGAGCCGTGTGGGGGGAAGATGGAGCAATAAGGTTTTGACTCAAGCCGCCAACCAAACTTCTGTGGTTAGTTCAGGCTTCTTAATCTAGCGATAAGCGAAAAACAAGTTCAAACTTCGGGATTCACCCCCTATCCCCTCTCCTTATTTTGTTTGCCAGGTGAAGCGGTGGTGGAGCGGTGGTGGTCTGGTAGTTTCTTAGAAAGCTCAACTAAAAAGTTAATCAATTAATCAATATCTTGAGCCGATCTAGCTTCCTCCACATACAGGTGCTATGAAGGGGTTACTCTCTTGCTTAACCGGCAGAAGAAGTAGGGTAAATGCCACGTGCATGCGGGGCACCGGATACAGCCCGAATAGGGCAGCAGCGCGAGCTTCGGAAATCGGGCCTCCGGTTTCTACCACCCGCATGCGTGCAAGAAGGGAAAGGATGCAAATGCAGCAATCAAAGCCAAACGTGCCCAAAAAAGAGAATATGCCTCTCTAGGGACTTCTACTACTACTATCGAGTTGGTATTCCGCAACGCGAATAATATTATCGCTGAAAATGCGCCCAGATGCCGTTAGGAGACGCCTTTCCCAGAATTACAGAGTCGGCTGATAGCCTTGTAGGAGGCACGCACTAACTGATCTTGGCGTAGTTAATTATTGATGTGGGAAACTCTTGTAGCATGCGTATGATGGTTGTATTACTAGTAGAGTTATGTGGGTCACGACCCAGTATTATATATACAGGTCTAACCCTAATGCATGAGTAGTGCGTATCAGGGTGACAGGACAATACCATCAGTACAGGGGATCCAACAGAAACATGGCCCACTAGCGTAGACGGATCTGCTCGAGATAACGAATGTTGCTACTGTTTCAGTATTGTCCAATAGGCTCCCAGCCTCTCACACAGTTTTTATTTTGTCTCGTAGTGCAGCTTAAAGCAGATCCTGGAGACTTAAGGTCTTATAAAAGCCGCAACACACTACGGATAAAAAAGTGGAAGCACATTATATCCTCCTTCGAACATAAGTTAAGTAGGCTTCTTGCCTTCATTTAGCTGATATCGTTGTCCTCCAGAATGCGTACAATCTCCTATTTCCCACCAGGTGTCCGTCCGAAACAGGCTCCGTTAGCAACCGTCGTCATGTTGAGGCTGGCTATGCACTGCGACGCAGCTGTTCAATGCACTGTTATCAATTCTCCAAATTGCGGCTCAAATCACCATCGCCAGACACATAAACTACCAACCAATGTAGGCTCCACCTACTATGCCGACGGATTCCATGGTGGTACTATGTATGCCAAATTTCAATCGTCAACCGCAGTCAATGGGTAAGACATCATCTGCTATCCAGGTGACAATGAACCTTCCGTTGCTAATATTGTCTATATATAGCAACTCTCGGTACCACGACTTGACGTATAACTTCAATCTTGGCTCTTACGACGGCACATACTGGGTTAGGTTGCCCACCGCAATTGGAGGGGGAACGGAATGTTATGCAGTTTACAAGAACTGCGATGTGACAGTGGATTTCTGGGACATGACGGAGCCAGTGCCATCCTCATACCAGCTGACATGATTGATTTAGCCATAGGGAAAATTGGTTGTAGAGAGTTACTATCTTCTCTTTCATGAAGCTATTCATAACCGGCACCGCTTCGCCCATGAAGCGGAGGTGAAAACGTGGCTGGCTGAATGCCGCACGAGCCTATTGTTATAACGCACCCTCTTTCTTACGTTTCATAAGAGATGCTCCCCCTCGTGTTATTCTTGCATTAGTTGAGTTGTCCTCACCGAATCACGGTATATTGAACCTCGATGTCCTCCTGGAGACTCAATGTTAAATAGAGTGTTCCGTGAAAGATTCGTGAGGAATCCTCAAGAAACAGTCTTACCACAATTGAACTTGTTACTTTCTTCCTTACCTCACTGACCGGCCTCCTACCCTGCAGTTAGATTTTATCTAACCTGAATACTTGCGTTTTACTGGAAACTATAGATTCGTTGACCGACCTCTACGCTTGGCATCAGTTGTGTTACGAGCAGGGTGGATGATGGCCACGCTGGACGAGCGCGGTAGGTCGCTCAGCAACATCTTGCTCTCCTTGATCTTCAGGCGAGTTCCGTGACGGACCCACCATTGAGTCACCAGGTGGTCATACTCCTCGTCAAGATTGATGGCGGAGATATTCTTGCCGGTATCACCATTGAACAGATCATCCTTCTCAGTGAGGTAAACGATCTTCAATGGTTCCAAAGCGCCGGCTAGCTCACCACCAGCCACATTGGCATTAACACTGAGCACCTGGCCATCGGGGGTCTCGGCCATGGAAGTCAGGATGGGTAGGCAGCCAGCTGCAATGGCCGACTCACTAGGCTTTTTCTTCACGCCATTGATCGTACTCACCAGGTTATACTTGAGCTTGTCCAGATAATCGGCCAAAAACACACCGGCGGTGATCGGCCGAGCATGGACACCCATACGCTCCGGCTCCTCGACCAACTTTATGTTCTCCTCCGGAACGAGCTTGCGCGCCAGCGACGGGGGTCTTGCCATCCGTGACCCGGATCCCATTCTCAAATTGGGGCTCGGCACCGGCGGCTTGTATCGTGCGGTTGAGCTGCGGACCAGCACCGTGGATGACAATCGGGTAAAGACCGACATGGTTCAGGAAAGCGAGGGCCAAGGACAGGGTTTTTGGAGGTGCTCGGTGATAATCGCACCGCTGACCTTGATAACGGCGAACTGCTGGGGGAAACGGAGGAGAAGTGGGACAGGTACTGCTGGGCCTCGCCCTTGGAACCAATGTTGCTCCGCAGATGGACGACGGTGCTCCGGGTCGAGCTCAGGAGAGGGCCGGCGGCGCGCGAGTGTGGTCGGCCCTGGCGCAGGGGAGTCGACACAGCGATCGGAGGGGCTTGGTGGAAGCTAGCGCGGAGTGAAGGGACAGCATCTTGATCACCAACACGCGGCAGCTTTAATTGATAATTAGCAGGTTGCTAGGGGAAACGTCCTCATTTTGTAGAACGGATTGAGAGGAGCAGAGAGAGGGTGTTAGGGAGAAGAGGAGGAGAAGGAGCCGCGCATACACTACTAACCATGGGGACCTGAATATTTTTTTCTGCATAGCTCCGCACCTCGTAATCTAGGCATATCAACTTCGGAAAGTCTGGCCGGGATGAATGCGGGAAGCCGCAGGAATGGATGGTGTATGCATCGCTGCTGAGACATGGGCAGGAGGAGACTATGAACGAGAAACTCCGACAAGGGCTCACTGATTCGTGTCGAGTCAAGAGACTTTTGGACCTGACGGCGACGGGAGCCAATCTGAACCGGGTGGCTGGCAAATTAACGTGGAGGGGTTAGAGGTCACGACATCTAGGCCCCTCAGCAAGCTGCCGTAATTCGCCGTGGCAGGCAGCTGTTCTCTCACGCAGTGCTTCAGGTCAGGCAGAGACCAACCAGCGTTAACAATGCTGAGATACAGTAGGGTTGGGGTAATCAGTCCCCGGTCTAGGCTTGCCACCAATTTCCCATCGAGTGCAAAGATAGGATGTCCGAACACTAGGAGGCGGTCGTCGTTCGTGGCCGTTCCCGAAGTCCCGAAGGAAGCTGACTTGGCCCGAATAGAATGCGGGGGGCTGGTTAGTGTTCAAATATGCCAAGCTTCGGATGGGATCCACGGAGATAGTGTGGAAACTCTGATGGACTAACCCACTATGGACGGTTGATACTAATTAGTATTAAAGGATCCGAAAGACTTCTAAAGAAAAGGTCTGCCTAGAGGCCTTGTCCATGTACTTTCTGGAGTACAATGTCCCTTCATGATTAAGGCCTAGTACTTTCTCTTGCCCCGTGAAGAACTCGTCAAAGCATGGTCTCTACCTCTTTGTACCGTCTCTGGCTATATAGTGGGAGACCAGTCTGATAAAAGAATATATTAGGTGCTCTATTGCCAAAGCTGCTTCTTGTGAAATGTCAGTACCTTTTGATTTTAGCCCAGCTCTTGCACTTTCTCTTCACTGGTGTCGCTAATGCTGGCAAAGTTGCTGTGCACCGAACATATATTTACTAGTAAGCAACCTCAGTGAATGAGCAACATCCTCTCGTACATCTGGTTGAGTTTTCGCTGGCTATTTACGAAAGGGAGTTGAGAAGCCCTAGCACCCTTCTGCCCGTACCAATGATAGTGGTGTCAAGCCGTACTCATCCTTCAAGTCCGCCCTAACATCACTTTGCTCAACCAGTAGCTTCACCACTTCTTCATGTCCACACACAGCTGCCAGTAACAGCGGCATCAGACCATAACTATCCTTCGAGTCTGCCTCCACATCATCCCGCCACAGTAGCAGTTTCACCACTTCTTTATATCCACCCTCAGCAGCATGCGACAGTGGCGTCCAACCATCGTTGTCCTCCGAGTCCGCCTTAACATCAATTCGCTCAACTAGTAGCTTCACCACTTCTTCATGTCCACCCTCAGCAGCATGCGACAGTGGCGTCCGACCATCGTTATCCTCCGAGTCTGCCTTAACATCATTTTGCTCAACCAGTAGCTTCACCACTTCTGCATGTCCACCCTCAGCAGCAAGCGACAGTGGGGTCCGACCATAACTATCCTCCGAGTCCGCATTAACATCATTTCGCTCAACCAGTAGCTTCACCACTTCTTCATGACCGCAAAGGGCTGCTAGTGACAGCGGCGTCAGACCGTAACTATCCTCCGAGTCCGCATTAACATCATTTCGCTCCACCAGTAGCTTCACCACCTTTGCATGTCCACCCTCAGCAGCATGCGACAGTGGGGTCCGACCATCGTCATCCTTCAAGTCCACCTTAACATCATCTCGCTCAACCAGTAGCTTCACCACTTCTTCATATCCGCACCCAGCTGCGTACGATAGTGGTGTTCGACCATTCTTGTTCTTCGGGTCCACTTGAGTATTATTCTTCGCTAGTAGCAGCTCTTTCAGTCTGCCCTCAGCTTCTTCTGCGAGAAGGTGTAAGACTGTGTTCCCTTTTTCATCCTGAACAGAAGTGTGTCGGAACGTCAAGACTCGGGCGAGGTCAGGAACGGCGCGTAAGAGTGATAATTGGTCACGAGGGTTGAGATTCTCCGCCGTGAGGAGAATGATCTCTCTCGGGAGATAAGCACGATCTTTTGGCGTTCTCATCGTCTAGCGCATGAGAGATACGGAAAGATAATAAAAAGCCACAGCAGTCTGGTCTTCTTCTTGCCACGCTTAGAGACGTTGCTAGCCTCGAATGCTGTTTGGGGAAGAATGTGGTTGTTAGCAGATGTTCGGTGCATTCCGTTCTGTTATATGGTTGTATTCCTGCTCATCCCAGATATCTCTTCCATTCCACTTTCTCAGGATCATAAATAAGGAGAAACTTCGAGGTGATAACGTACTTAGGGGCGGGCTCTGCTTGAACTTGTCAGCATTGTCAGTCCTCCAAAGCAAAGCGAGAGTGGATGTGAAACGCCAGCAGCGGTCCTTGCCTTTTCCTAGTGCAAAGTTGACAAGCTTTCTCGAAGCCTTTTTAGGGTTGGAACCTCGTGGAAAGATCAGCCCGCGGGAGAGCATCCGAATTCTGCGGCCGCATTACCCGTGGTTCGGATGGAAGGGCTGCATGACTGGTCTAACAACGGCAGAAGCGGGTCATCGGTAGCTGGTGGGCCCTACAGGGGTGTTCATGCTTGAACGACAATCAGATCGTCTTCAGCCGATAAGTCGTCGAGGCATACGATCTCTACCGCCTAGCCTGAACATGTATCAAGGGTTTGAGCCTTGTCTGAAGGATCAAATACAATCATGGTTCTCACAAGCAACGAGAAGCGCGCCTCTTCAGACAACAGTGCCGTGAGGCATTGGCAGCCCACTTTAGTATGTTATGGTCTTCTCTCCGCTTGATGCGAAACTACAGTAACTCGCGTCAGACGACTGACTCGGCCATGTCGTCGCTTCCAGCCAAGTCCGGCTACAGCCATCGGCTGGGGATGGATACGCTTGGTCGGTGACGGAATCCAAGAAGAGCCTGTTGCAGTGCTACCGTGGAGCTAAAGCAAGATTCAAAACAAATGCCTCACCTGATTTTCTGATGAGGCATTTGATATTACAGTTCCTAATAGTTATCAAGCCGACAGAGCTTCTTTAATCGTCTCTCCGCTTCCTATCTCGCAGAAAATTACGCTAAACAGTCGAGTTACAGGCCCTTAAAATCCAGGGAATTTCTTTTTTTAAATAAAACCAATTTTTCGGTTCTGAAATGTGCCAAGTGAAGTCGATTCTGGATAAGCTAAATCCGGCGCAGCGGTTTAGGGGGCAAAATGTGTTTCCAAATCAGTGCAGCAGGAGTAAGCCAATACGCACTGCCGCGGATATGTATTGGCTGCCATTTGGCAACTATATCCCCACTGTGCCTATCCTTTCCTTATTACTCCAGCCTGGTAATAAGTGTATAACTCATTAACTTTTATTAGTAGGTCCAAACCAGATACCGAACAGGCTTCGAAACGGCTAGCTCGGGCACCACGACCAGAATCGCACTGCATACTTTTGAGCCCTTGCACAGCTTGGTCTGGCCTGGGCTATCTGTGAATTAATCTACCTTGAGAGTGGCGAGAGGGTCTCCACTGACGGAGACGAGACTCAACAGTTACCCGCATTAATCCAGGTTCTCGCAAACTCAACAGGCTTCTCGAGGAATGATCAACGCGGGCGGTGATACTGTGCTTCTGGGACACCTTGCTAACCACCAGGCTGCTTCTGGGGATTTCCCTGTCAGCCCTTCTCTGCGATCAGGGGGCTATACAATTTCTTATTTCGGATTATTGCAGTGGAGGATAAGGTACTCCGTACTTTAACTAGAAATTAAGGTTGGCAGCTGTTACTAGCGGAAAGATATGAGTCTAGTGCACCTGGCCTGCAACCATAAAGTACTTTATTCTTACCGGCATTACTTTAACCCCCAAGATGGCGACTGGGATCAGGCCTGAGAATAGTTAGTCTTTTTGCTGCATACCATACTACATTGGTCTAGTATCAGTATAGCCGTGTCATGGGACGACCCCCACCCTTCGGGTAGGGGGTGTCCCACAGCCATAATGCAATTAACAGCCATAATGCAAATTTCCTACCTTTTCAACTTTTACGCGTATTCCTACCCACCAAAAATGCCTAAAAAAACTCGTGATGAAGAGGATCTGCTAGCTAAGGCATTACATGCTTATACTAGGCGAGAATTTTCATCACTACGTAAGGCTGCGGACCATTATCGCGTGTCTTGTTCCAAGCTTCGCGGTCGCAAAAACGGACAGACATCTCTCTCCGATCGCCCTACCACCAATAATGCATTGAATTCGAATCAGGAAAATGCATTAATTAGCTGGATCGAAGTGCTAAATTCTTGCTAAACACCTCCAACTGCAAAATTCATTGAAATTGCCGCAAATCGCCTGTTGAAAATAGCGGGTTCGGAGAGAGTTGTTAGTTCAATGTATAGCTATCGGCTTATACGGCGTCTACCTCCACACATCAAGCTTATTACCCAAAAATCAAAGGTATCTTTACGAATTCAAGCCGAGGATCCTGGAGTTATTAGCCATTGGTATGATAGGCTTGAGTATCACTACTGTGAGCATGGCTTTGAATCCTACGAGATCTATAATTGGGATGAAACCGGATTCCAAAATGGCGAAGGACTTAACCAACACGTCGTCTCTACGCGTCAATCTGCTAATATTGCTACTGGAGGTCGAGGTGAAACTATTACTGGCATTGAATGTATTGCCGCTGATGGCTGGGTGATGTTTCCATGGTTTCTAGTCAAAGGCAGCGTCCATATGGAAGACTGGTATAGCAATATGTCAAATCTCTTCTTTGGCGTATAAAATCATCCATTTAACGTCTAGTGAGACTGCCTACTGATGGCTCTGCTCGTTTCATGAAGCTACAAAAAACCGCGTACGACGCGGGCGACCGAGGCTTTCGCTAATGGACAATCATGCGTCTCATACAACTATCGAATTTTCTCGATTTTTGTAAGGAAAACTTGATTATTCCTTGGTATTTTGTACCTCAACTCATCTATATCAGCCGCTTGATGCTGAGGCTTTTTTAAGCCTAAAACATGAGTTTAAAACGGCGAATACTGAAGTTGTGGCGTGGGGTGGAAGCAACGAAAAACGCGATTTGTTCCGCAATATTGATGCCGTCCGACGCCGCGCCCCAAAGTCCAGAACTATCCAAACCTCGTTCAAATCTACTGGTATCTGGCCACTAGATCCGACACAAGTTTTGGATAATTTAGGGCAGTATTCGGATAAAGAGGTGCTACGCATGTACGACGTGCCGTCACCCGCCCGCGAATTCCCAATTTCAGCAACCAATGCTCCGCCTAATTCTTATGCGCGCATTGAAAAATTAGAGAGTACGGTTTTCCCACTGCTTCATAACCCGGCTCCTGATTTACGAAAAATTCGGATGCTTATACGGCGCGCAATTGATGCCGGAAAATCGTCTCTATGTAATGCGGAACTTGCAGAGATGAGCCTTACGCGCGCCCTTAGCCACAAAACGCCTGGGAAAAAGCCAAAAAGCAAGCGGTGGGTAAAGGGAGCTAAGAAACCCCCCTTTCATCAATTTCAGGTAATAGGCTAGTACAGCATAACGTGAAGTCCGGTTGCGCGGGCGACCCGGTTGCGCGAGCGACCCCACCAAAAATACACTTCAATAATGATGCATCTTCTTTGACCACAAAAACAATGCCCCCCCAACGCTCTGATAAGAAAAAAAAGTTAATAGAGCAGGAGGGTCGCCTTTCATTAGCTATACAAGCTATTAAAAATGGCAAGTATCCCTCTGCTGCCGCTGCTGCGCGATCTTTTGAGATACCTGTCTCAACTTTGAAGGCACGGATCAATGGGCGCGAATCTGCTACTGAAAAGCGACACAATCGCTTCATTTTTACCGAAATTGAGGAGGGATCGATTGAAAAATGGCTACTGGATATGGATTCCAGAGGGGCAGCTCTTACTTTGCCTATGTTGCGAGATATGGCCAATCTTCTACTGTATGCCCGAAAAACTACACCCTCTACTGTGGGTAATCATTGGCCTGCTGAATTTATCAAACGACGCCCAAATCTCTCTACTCGCCTCTCTCGCAAATACGATTATCAGAGAGCTCTTTCAGAAGACCCTCGAATTATTGAACCATGGTTTGATTTGGTTCAAAGGACGATTGAAAAGTGGGGTATCGCTTCAGACGATATCTTCAACTTTGATGAGTCTGGTTTTGCCATGGGTATTGGTGCAACACAAAAGATTATCACTTCAGCAGAATACCATGGAAAAAGAGCTCTTTTGCAAGCCGGAAATCGTGAGTGGGTGACTTCGATTGAGTGTATTAGAGCTTCTGGAAGTGTTCTCCCGCCGCTCTTTGTCTTCAAAGGAAAACAGTTCCCAGAGCATTTACGACCCTATCTCCTTTCAAATCAAAAAGGGGCTCATCTAACCATGAGCTTAAATGGTTGGACTACCAATACAATTGGTTTATGGTGGTTAAAATATCATTTTATCCCAAATATTGGGACAAGAGTGGGAAAATACTGCTTTCTGGTCCTTGATGGTCATGGGAGTCATTTAACCCCTGAATTTGACCAAGTCTGTGAAGAAAACCAAATCATCGCAATCTGTATGCCTCCGCATGCTTCTCATCTTTTACAGCCTTTGGACGTGGGTTGTTTCTCGGTTTTGAAGAGGCTTTACGGAGGGGCGGTCTCAACTTTGATGCGAAACGGAGTTAACTCCATTGACAAGGAAGATTTCCTTGAACTGATCGCAGATGCGAGAATGGGTGCTTTTAAGACTTCCACTATAAAGAATAGCTTTTTGGCTACTGGATTAGCACCATTCGATGCTAATAAGGTCATGGAAAAGCTAAATGTGCACCTGGATTCCCTCCCTCCTCTGGAGATCCTTTCTCAGCGACCAGTCTCTTCCGGTAGCGATAGTGATCCAGATACCCTTTGGACCCTTTCAAAGTTTACAAAATCGCAATCTCGGATCAAAAAAAGTCTACAATCTTCTTCTTCAATCCTTTCTTCACCAACAAAAAGGAGATCAATAAGACTTACGAGATGACTATAAAAGTGGTCCACCACCACATTTTTCTCCAGAATCGCTGTACTCAATTGGAGGCTACCAACAAGAAACAGACCAAGAAGCGAGGGACCAAACACAAGTTTAGTACCCAGAAAGGCATCTTTGGGGGTCTAGAGGGTGGTGAGGATGATGTGGTTGTTGGGGATGAAGATAGAAGCAAAGATATATCTTTACCAGAGGTGCCTGCAAAACCAGTTACGGAACCTACTCTACCTTCTATGCCCTTGGTTCGGCGGCAGGTGACATGTTCTGGCTGTGGAATAAAAGGTCATACATATTCTAAATGCCCTACACGTGTTCAATAGCCAAACTTATGTTTTTTGGTGGTTTTAATAGTGGTTAAAAATTGAAGGTTTTTCAAGGTTTGGTGGGGTCGCTCGCGCAACCGGGTCGCCCGCGCAATCGGACTTCACGTTAGGTGTGAGAAAGAAGATGAGTCGAAGCTTCGAGCTTGGCGGAAAGACGCAGAGAAAATGGCAGCTGATTTAGCGACTAAGGAATTGGAGGAAACGTTTGAAAGTGAGGACGATGATACATTATTGGCTAATGAGGCTATTGATGGGCTTTATTTCATGGATCCTGGACCTTATACGTCTAAAAAATGAGCTAGAAGTTGAAGAAATTGAAAATTTGCAATATGGCTGAGAATTGCAATTTGGCTGAGGGACACCCCCTACCCGCGAGGGTGGGGGGTCGTCCTGTGACACGGCTAGTCCTATGGGCGCTAGTCATTAGCGTATGTCTAGCACGGAGATCTTTCCGAACGTTTTACAACAAGGAGCACCTTGGTACCCAGCTTCTTATCGCAAAAGAGCCGGGTATATCTCCGTGCTAGCCAAATATCAATAAATGGTACATGCAGTTGTGTTTGGTTTTTATGTTAATTGTTTGTTTTTATTGGGACATATTCAACATGTCGTCCGCTGATTTATTGGCTTGATTTGAAATGTTTCATTTTTCTTTTCATATTTTTAGTTCTCACGGTTGCCCAACGATTCAACCTCTTAGGGTCATCGAGCGTTCTTGGATTTTGGCAGTCATCAAATTCAATCTAGTCACTCGTTTCTACTCCATCATCAAATTTTGCAAATCCTATAGTATGAGTTCTTCAGCTGATAGCTCACATATGCATTTTTCATTCACCTTGTAGTAGTGAGTTATCTCAAACTGTGCCTCCTAGCGCCTCTCTGAAGTCAACGAGATATACCTGGCAACATGACGTCAGAGGCTTTGTTCAGCAATATATGAAGTTCAAAAAGAGTTTGCCTACTAGATTCGACCCAAGATTCCAACTTCCCCTGTTACCCTCAACAAGTTCTCTGTTTTGTTGATAGCAGCATACATGACAGAATACCGGGGATTTTCATACAGTAACCGGATTTTTCAAACAACTAGAACCTGGAAATCAATAGCAGTGGAAGTTTCCCCGACATAACGGCGACCCATTTTTGGGCCGACGCCTGATAGTGAATCATTAATGAAGCAATAATTGCCCCGGGTGGACAAATCAGACATTTCTCGGAAGACACGGAAGCTAAGAATAGGATTGAACTCCAAAAGGGAATCCCTGAACTGATGTCCACTCAAATCTGAAGATCGTCAGTGGGCTTACTCCCGTAACGGGGGGTTGGATCCACTCTTCGGGTTAAAACACGCCCGAATCTTGGCTTGGCTCGAAAATGCAGGGCCCTCAGGGGTTTTGTATGGCAGTCAGGGTTTTGTAACTAGATATGTGGCTTCAATTGCGGTCGAAAGAGACCCCTTTCTGCTTTGAGGGGGCATTTTGTAACCCAATATTTAGACAGAGCCCGACAAGAGCCCTTGACGCCATCTGCCGTACAAATCATGTATTCTGCCGCTATGAGGGATTGCAAGACATGTTTCGGTCTCTCGACCAATAAGAGAATAAGCCAAAGGATTTTAAAGTTAGCCACTTTATTTTAAAATGGAAGAGGGTCAACTTTGTGACCTCAACAAGTCCAAACATGTCTTAAGTCGTATCAAGCTCCCTTTCTCTGGGGTATAAGAATCACCAAGTCCCTCCGTATAGTTTCCTTCTAATTCACAATCAACCAAACCATCCACATTGAAAATGAAATTCTCCATCGCTGCTATCACCGGCTTCGTCAGCGCCATCAGCGCCGCCACCCTTCCCTCGGCCTTCACTCTGGTTGCGAAGGGCGGCAATACTGTTCTGACCGACGGCCGTACGTTCAATTCGCCCCTTCAAAATTCCAAAATTGAAAGCCAGAATACTAACAATGGTGACCAGAGTACGCTTTCATCGGTGCCAACACCACTGACCACGAGATCCTGATCCGTAAGTCCATCAGCCAACCCGGGTTCCACTGCAAGCAATATCCTGACACACTTCTTCAGTCCGTGGCGGCAGCCCCAACGGTCTCGTCTCCTTCACCTCCAAGGACGGTGTCCCCACCGCTTTCCAGAACCTCTACATCGTCGAGGACTCCGTTTCTCCCCTCGGCCTGACCTTTCCCCACTCCAGTGCCGTTCCCCAGGGTGGCAACACCACCGGCTTCGGTGTTAACAACAGGGGCCTCTTCACCCACGGTGGCAAGGCTTGGTTCGCTGTTGACGGCTACGGCCAGAACCCTGTTCAGGAGATCTACTGGTACGGTGCTCACAACGCCGAGTACCGCTCCGAGCAGCTCTATGTTAAGGAGTTCAAGAACTACTCCGCTTAAATAAGTGCTGAGCAGCGCTAGCTTGAGTTAACGAGGGCTTTGGTGAAAGTTGTTTGTTTTGATGAAGTCTCTGTGATAAGAGGCTTCTTTCGCTCCTTCATGTTTTTTGCAATTGCACATACATGTATCATATATACCAATTCTAGCGACACCGAACCTGCAGAGTTCTGGAACCGTTTTATACTTCATCCTCATGCAGTTACCTGATCCTTCTACCTGTATAACTATGCCACAGCGTCAAGAGCTCATTTGATCATTGCCTTGATTGTGGTCTCAAAACTTTCCGGTTCACGCCCCAAAATTTTGCCAAGGGCAGGTGACACAACAGCAGTCTCGCCCAGTTTGATAGCCTCCCAGGCAGTAGCCCACTCCTTCGAAAGATTGACCCCATGGTAAGTACGGAAATCAGCATTTTGAGGAATAGCAGCATATTCATCCGCAGAAATCTCCCTCACTCTCCTACCAGCCCTCCTCTCCTCTAGTACTTATCCTTTGCCAGTCCCTCCTTCAACCCGTGCCTCAGAGTGCCGCGTCCTTTCCATTCAGCTGTCTACCTGCCTGGAGCACCTTTGCACACCCTTTTGTTTCCCCAGAGGCAACATGAGCGACGTTGCAGATCCATCCTCAGCGATCGACAGTGACACTTCGGGGGTGTCTTTCCGGCCTGACTTCGATGCCACCGACGACTCCGATTCTGGGGACGCCTCAAATTCAACCGGGCTGACCACCCTGGAACCCACCTGTCTTCCCGATGACCGTAGCCGGCCGCCATCTCGTCCAAAACGACCCGTGCGCCGCCCAGAGGACGCTGGTGCCTTGCCCGATCAAGCTTTTCAAGGCGGTGAAAAAGAGGGGTTACGGATCGGTCCGGTCCCAAACTAGACCCACTTGCTGACAACTTGTTGTCGTATTGACAGATACTGGTATGTTCTAGTTTGAGGTGTCCCATTGAGATGCATTGATTGTTGTTCTCTCTGGATCGTGCTGTTGAAGCGTTATCAGATCTCAGAAGACGTTCCTAGCGTGTTACGACGCTGGTATGCCGAGCGTACCCCGTTTACCATACAGAGACAAAGAGAGAATGGGTACTTGATGAATAACCCTGTCCTTAGTGGTAAAATACCACCCCTCAGTTCGACATTATATCTTTTGTACCTTTGTCAGCACGGGATACAGCGGAGTTCCCCTCCCCGAGAATCAAGTCCTGTAGACATCATTCCAATGGATTCTTCGAATGCAGATGAACCCCGTAAGAAGGCCACCCATGCTTGTGATTCATGCTACAAGCGAAAGGTATATCTTATGACCCTCTAGCCTCTAACCTATTCCGCCGCTAATGCCGCCAAGGTTAAGTGCGACGCAGCGGTTCCGCAGTGTATTTGGTGCAGCCACCATAATATCCCTTGCACGTTCGATCGAGTAGTGCACAGAAAACGGAAAGGTGGTGATGATGAGGGGTCAGTCACACCCTCTTCCCTTTGCACTTCCTATACTTGTGTCTGACCAATATAGTTGCCCCAAAGTCAAACGGCTGTCGGAGCGAATTAGCCGCATTAAGCGGCTGCTATCAGAGAATGTGACGCCAAATCAAATATCAGGTACACTACTATTGAGGAATTATTTAACAAAGTTCTCATTGGCACCGAACAGAATGTGAGGATACGTCTCAATCTCCTCCGGCCAGTACAATGGCCAGCAATTCTCCCAGCACCCATCAGCCCCCAGACTCGTCATCAGCTCGCGTTCATTTCGCAGGAAAAGAATTGGGCGTCATCAGCTTACTTAATGGCACGCCATTTTTTCCCCTGAGGGTCAGGCATGGATTGAAGCTCGTACAGGGCAAAGTATCCCAATTGACAGACTCAGCCCAGCGCGAGCATCAGGGAAAAAAGAGCGCTGCCAGAGTTTCAATACCCTTATGATGAATATGAATGCTCTCAATCCATTCGAATTACCTGACTTCTGGGTCTTGCAGGTCCACCTCGAGGCATTCAAGGCCTCGAAGGTGATGCGACGCATCTTTCCCATCATACATTTTGAACTCTTTGATGAGACCATCAGAACAGCTTACAAACATCCGGGTCCAACCTTCGGCTATGGACAAGCTAGTGCGCGAGTCTGTGTCATTGCCTTTATTACCTTCGTTTCCCGCCTTCCTCCTGTGAAGGAAATGGTTGCCGCCTTGAACATGACTCCAGTTGACCATAATATACTTGCTACGAGAGCACAGCTTTTGATGCCTCAAGCGCTTCTAGAGAGTCCTAGTCTGGACTGTGCCCAGGCTCTCACCATTTTGGTAAGTTAGCCCCTCAATTTGTATATGCTACTTTGACAACTGAGTGGTGACTAGACTCTCGTTGAACTATCGGCTGGAAATATGCAGGCAACAAATTACTATGCCGAGATCACAGCCCGATTGATTTTTATGCTTGGTGGGAACATACCGGACGGCCAGGCCTACTCGTTTGATAAACGCCGCCAGCAAAAGGACCAACAACTACGAAACTTATTCTGGATATGCTACACAATGGACAAAGATATTTCGCTCCGCACCGGCCAGCCGCCTACCATCAGCGATGAAAACTGTGACCTGACACTGCCACCGGGCTATCTCGAACGAGCATTCCTGGACGTGGAAGACGAGGACGCACCGTTCCTGGGACCAGTATTCCCCTTTGACCTACGTCTGAGCATAATCAAGGCTCGCGCGCACAGAGAGCTCTATTCAGTGAGCAGTCTTCGAAAATCCGATGCCGAGCTACTCAAGTCAATTCGGGAACTAGATGACGAGCTTGAAGAGTGGCGTCTTTCGGTTCCTCCGACATGGCGTCCAACCATGTCATTTTCTCTAGAGACATCTGATCCTAATATGGGTATGCACAGTGTCTTGCTGCGGTTAAATTATCATCTGTGTGTGGCTATCATTCACCAAGCAAGTGGTAGGTGTAAATCATGGATGGAAGGGCAAAGTGGCATGGTGGATGGAGTGAGTTCGAGTATGGCTCTTTCGGTAGAGGCCAGTCAATCAAGTCTCTGTTACCTCGAGGCGGCAGAATATGTGGTGGTCGATGGGGTATTCTGGTAAGTGGTCTTAAACTGTCCACAGGTCAAAGCTAACTGTTCTAGGACACTCATCTTCTACCCCATGTCCGCGCTACTCACCATCTTCTGCAGCATCCTTCAAAACCCACTGGATCCACATTCGCGCGAAGATTTGGACCGACTAAAGGTTGCCACTGTCATGATGGAGCGTGTATTTTCACGTAAACTGCCAGAGAATGAGCTTGTGCACTTCAAGATGGTCACCGACTTCGTTACGGACTTGAAGCGAATGGCTGAATGTGCCATTGACAAGGCCTGGGCAGAGCAGCGTGCCAGCCACACGGCGAAATGATTGAGGGATCTTTTTCGGCGACTGGCCACCACTTAAGACACAGTTCATGGGCTATCAATAATGCTTCATAAGAGATATCGTAGGCCAAAAGGATTAAGAGCCGCAACGGCATCATAGGATAATATGTTGGAATTGGTTGCATGGATTTGCATTTGTGATTTTGACTTCAGACTAATGTACCTCTTACGGGGTTGCTAAATATAAAATGTCACTAGTAGTTGTGAGTTTGGGTTATTTCTAGGGGATTGATACTACCACCCCCCTTTGGATGCTACCACCCCCCTGTCAATTCTCGTATTGTGCCCAACCCATTGGAGATATCAATGACTCTGTATTTCAATTACCCCTAGTTCACGCTATTTATGCTTCAATTTAGTTACATAATCAGATGCATCGGATCAATACTAGATCCGGTCACTTGCAGTATTCGTAAGGTAATGCTGACACCCCCCCTGCCTGGATTCTCAGGCCAAGACTTTTTCTGCCGGACATATTTCTGCCACCACCGACCATGCTTCCAACTAGGCCTCTACATGGTGCGGTCTTGGTCCTCAGGTCGAGGACCGCGGACCGCACCGCACGGTCTTGCGGTCTCAAATTTGAAGATTGAGACCGCCCCATGGTGAACCGCAATTGCATAATTCCGCTAAGACCTTCCCTTCTCGGCTGCATAAATTGATGAGTTATCCTTTTTAATTACTGTTATTAAACACTGTTTTGGTTTCTTTTTAAACATTCGCGGTATTTCGGCATCTACCACCATGAAAACAGATGAAATATTCTCGTATATAAAGTATTTACTATTTAAAATATCTATCCCTGCTAAAATTGTTATAAATTAACGTTCTAATAAGGAGGTTTTATGTTAGTTATTGTGCGCTATGTATAGCAGGTGAGAAATATATATTTTGATACTGATGCCTAGTCCTATTTATACCTAGATTTCTATAATAAATTTACACGACCGCTTGTATATGGTAGAAAGACGTAAAACGGGTATCACTAGAGAGCGTAGATATTCTAATTAATTAATTATTTATCTCGAAATTCGCTATTCTAGTACTGGTATATGCTAGTAATAATGTCTTCAGAAGGCTGGTGTTCTCCTACATGAAGGATGGACATAGGGAAGAAAAGGAGGAATGTAGTATTTAGTAGGTCTTTTAAGCCCGGTGCGATCCTGTTTGTGGTCTCCTGCGGTTCTTTGCGATCTATCGCGGTTTTTCCTACAGGCTAATGCAGTCGTCTGCGGTCTTCTAGGCCAGATCCTATCAGACCGTAGTAGAGTGGGGCCCACTGTCTAATCACTATTAGAATTCAATTTGATCTATCTAAATTGTGCCCATAGCTATCTCCTAGAGAAAATTTTCCATTCATGCTTTTTCTAAGAGCTGAAAATATTCCAGTTAGTATCTCCTCTACCTCCCCCCGTCCTATCCTATACTCATTTTGTCACAATGTTACAGAGTCAGGCCTCCTCTCAGTTCTCCGATCACTATCCCTCATCGGCTTTTGAGGATAATCCGCGAGATACCTTCCCCTTCCTCACTTCTGATGGGCCATTCAACCTCGACGGGCAAGAAACGCCAAATTCAACTCCTGACGTGAACTTACTCCGACCGGTGATTCCTCCTATTATTCTAGAAACGCTTCCAGAAACACTCGAACGCGTTGGTCCTTCTAAAAGGAAGAACTTTATCCTTTGGACGGAAATGGTAAATGAGGATTTCATCGTCTGGTGGTTAAAGACTGAGTATGGAAGTAAGATGAAACGGAATATCTTCGAGGGGAAACGCAATGCAGAATGCTGGGACCACTTCTATCAGGCCGCTGCTATCCAGGATGGATCTCCTAAGGTAATATGCAAGAATTAAGACCATATCCTTGCCCATCCTGCCGACAAACGCCGGGGAACATCTACTATGAATCGGCATTACTCGCAAATAGGTGCCTGCAAGAGAGGCTCGACTCAGTCGCAAGATATTAGAAAGGCTATAAAGAATGGGGTATGGATAATACTTCGTCTTCCTTTATTTAATGTTACTAATCCTATAAGTCCCCCCTCTAGGCACATCTGGCGTCTCGTAAAGCATCATTTACGCCGCAAGCTTGGATGGAAAGTTTAATTACCTTTATTGCTGCCTCGCGGCTACCCTTCCAGCTTATTGAGCATCCTGAATTTCGCGCCCTTCTTGAGATGGTCCGGCTTGCTCCCTACTTTCCCGAAATCCCCACTGCAATCACGATCCGCCGTCATCTTCAAGAAATTGTGGAAGAACGCCAATGCACTCTTCTACAGAAGCTTCCTGATGGTGCTAAGCTCTCTATTGCATTAGATTGCTGGACCTCGCCTTTTCACCAAGCTTTTATGGCGATAACGGGCTATTTCATTGACCAAGAGTGGAATTACCGTGAGCTCTTACTTGGCTTTGAACCTCTACATGGCTCGCATACAGGGGCCTATTTGAGCACTGTTGTGCTTGACCTTCTTGAGAATCATCGGATTACTAAAAGGGTGTTGACTATTACTACTGATAACGCATCTAATAACGGTACATTACTAGGTAGCCTTCAAGAGGCCGTCGAATCCCTAGAGCTACCTGGTAGTATACCCGTTATCCGTATACCATGTATTGCGCATGTTATACAGCTTAGTTTGAAAGAGCTTCTTGGTCAGATGGATGCGAACCCGCGAAACGAAAGGGAAGAGATTGAATGGACCGAGAGAGGGCATACAGCTCGGCAAGAGAACAGAAAGATCGTGGATACTCTGAACAAGGTCTGACCCTATCTAATTTGTTACTCTTATCTCTCTTTATTCACTAACCCGTACTATCTTCTAGGTTCGGAAGGTGGCAGTCTACATCAACAAAAGTCCTCAGCGCCGCGAGAGCTTTCTAAGTCTTCAGACGAAGGAGCCAACGCTTATGCCTATACAAGACGTTCGGACACGATGGAATTCAACTTTCCTTATGCTCCGGCGTGCCCGGCGGTTGCAGTCTGTCTTTGATGACTTCTGTGTCCAATTCAACCTCGTTGATATGAGGTTGAATAGAGTTGAATGGCGACAAGTTGACTATCTTCTGTCAATCACCTATCCCTTCTTCAAATTCACTTCTTCTCTCTCAGCAACTTCAGATGTGACCATTCACAACGTCTTTGGTATCTATAACGCTCTTTTCACACATATTGATAAGGCAAAAGCGCAGCTCGCCCGAAAGAAGATTGGTTGGAAGAGGATGATGAAGTCCGCGCTTGACCGT